AAATATCAACGACCTGATGGCACCTCACCAGATAAAGTATGTTCATCATTTTGTACATTTAAATTTTTTTGTCTGATCTAATATTTTCTATTGTAGCTTGTCAACCCTTTTGGTGGTTCTTTTCCTCTCTGCAATCGAGAAATTACCTTCAATACTTTATGGAATGGCACCTCAGGAAGAAATGGTATTCTTTCACGTTTTCATAGCAACACATCAGATCGAACCTCACATCCACTTCCTTTTCTGGCTTGTGGACCAGGAACTGGCAAAAGCAGATTCCTTGAAGAAGTGGAAAGATTGTTGGTAGCAAGAGCCAGTAAATCTGACAATGAAAGTGTTAAGATGGCTTTCTCCAATATAGTTATGGTAAATACTACATATGGAAATGGAACTCCAGCAAGCAAATTTGATGTGGAAATTGGAGGAGAAGCATCATTAGCTGTTCGACTCATTTATCAACATTTCATCAGTTGTAACAATCCAAAGATTAGTTTTGGAGACTTTATAATGAATGGAAATGTAGGCCTCCTCCGCTTAACTACTGCAATAAATATTGTGCTTTCAGAAATGACATCAAACATTCATGTATTTGTTCTTGGTATTGATGAAATAAATTTACTTTACTCATTTGATCAACAAACTCTTCGTCAAGTAGTACATGTGATTGGTGGACTTTCTTGCATGCGTTGGAATATATTTTTCATACCAATTCTATCTGGAACTATCCAAGGTCCTATGGAGGACCTTGTACAAGAATCAACTTATCTGCTTTTACAACTCCCACTACCTCTCCTTCCTGATAAAGACATGTTGTTCATTGCCAGTTCACTTGGATTTCCTAATGAGTATATCTTGAAAAATAATGTATTTCGACGCTGTCTTGCTGATATTGGTGGAATGGCTCGAGCTATGGAGTTCTTTTTCCATCTCATCATTGAACAACAAACCCGCAATAAGAATGACTTGGAAATTACTGACAAAACACAAATCAACTTGCTAAATTGTGTTGATATTGTGGAGGTAATGGGTAAACTGATGATAGATTTGACAGAAAAATACCCTTTCAAAACATATTCACAATTTGCAATGCCAATGCTGGCCAATGCTATTTTGGAAAAATCAGTAATGGAATCTGATGGCTTTAATATTATCAGGCAAGAAGACACAAAGAATAAAGA